CACTAATTCAGAAAGGCTTCTCATCTCATATATTTCTTTTTCTAGTCTGCTGACTGAAGGTATTTTGTAGCCTTAACTTTTAGATTAAAGTAGTGGTTAAAACAATTGAAATGAAAATATACTGGCTATTTTATAGTCTGTAGGGATAATATAATCCATTTAGCCTTTCATAAAACCACATACAGAGGATAACAATCTTAGGAAATCTATTAATTAACAAGTATGTCTGTGACTGTACCTAATACCCACGACTACAATATAAATCACTGTATATCCAAACATATAATACTTGGATGAACTCCAGACATTTTTCCATGGGAAAAACCTATACACTAGAGCGAGTATATGATGAAGAATCTTTTTAAAAGGTCACTGGCATAGAACTAAACCTGTTAAAGGAGGTTTTACTATACTCCATAAGTGTGCTTTGAAGAAGTTTCCATTATATTCAATTACTATTGATTCATTAGGTATATGAACTGTACAGTTCTAATTAAAAACCTTTTTCTTTCCCTCTTTAAAACCAGTGGGGAACCTTAGATAGATTTACTATGACCATATTAAAAAAAAAAAAAAAAAAAGTGATAAAAACATTAATTAGAAAAATGGTAACCCAAATTTCCTGGCCTTCTTTGCTTTGATGTCTAAGTAACCATAGTCTCCCTGGCTTTCCAGATGAGGCAGCAGATGATACATTTTCCAAAGCTCTTAGATTGCTTTAGAATGTGGATGAAGTCCAACCTTTATCGGTGACCAGACTGTGTAAACCCCAAGAGTGTTTCCTTGTAGAAGGTTCTTTATCCTCTGGCCCTGTCCCAGAGCATTTAAGAATTTAGATAGTCCTCCAGATGTTACAGTATCAGTAAAAGGCTTTGCCAGCTGGACTGAAACAAAAATGCTCCAAACCTTCCCTGGGAGAGTGAAATATGTCTCTCTCTAGGTGGCTTGCTATTTCTTGCTTAAAAGCCTGTCACCTCTGCTTTGATAGCCACTCATAGAAATAATAAATAGCCAGAGATACTTAAAATACCTCTGATTATACCTTCTGATTGCCTTGCAATTAATAGCTAATCTGAGACAGTACGAGTCACCTCATGCTTCCAATGCCTCCCCATGTATTAGTGAGTGGCTAGACTTCCTTAGGACAAAAAAACATCCTAAACATTGCCAGCGCTCACCAAAACAATAAAATACACCCAGGCCTTTATTTATAATATTAGGCAGCTATCAGGTGGGTCTGGACCCCATTTGTGGTAATTCACCAGGCAAGATTGAAACCATAGGGCTGCACTGTTTTAACACAAACTTCTACAACCTCCCTGCTGTTGCACTTCTTGCTGGGATGGAGGCAGATTCAGGCTGGACCAGGGCTGTGGTGGTAAGGGCAGGCACAGCCCATATGCCCCATTCAACCCAGTGTAACTGGCAGCTGGCAAAACATCAGTCCCTGCCCCAGTGGTGCTGCAACAGGGCCAGGCTCCCCATCCTACAGCCTTGCCCAGCCACAGAAACAGTTTTTTGAAAGAACTGTTTGTATTCAACAGCAACAGGAATTTTGATCACTTACTCAAGATATTTTTATGGAACAGAAAATTCCACCTCTGATCTCCTTTAATCAACCAGCAAAGTCTTACAGTGTGTATATCTGTATACAAATGGTTGTGGTCAGTTGATTTTTCCATAAGGATTTCCTAGACTCAGTTGATTTTAGATAACAATTTCTAATATAGGTCTTCTGCTCTGCTTAATCTTTTTGAACTTTCCCCCTCCTGTGTGATGGAAACAAGTCCACAAGTAAGGACAAGTATTGTTTTATGCCTGCTACATCCAGTGCTGTAACTGTGACAGGTTGCAGCTTCATCAAATTCCTCCCACAGCAGCTACTTCTGCTCAGCCTCCAGCAGGGATCCAGACCAACCTGCAGGTACCTTCACACATGAATAAACTTCCACCAGAGGCTGCTGCTTTAATGAACTCTATGTGCAATTCAGACAAATTCTGGTCTACCATCATTTTTATCCACTTAAATGTGTTTTAGCCTGTCAAATGAACAGAAAAAGAAGCCATTACTTTTGTAAATGTAACAAGAAAAGTGTCAGTTCCATTATTTACACCTGAGTTGGGCAAGGTAGAGAATAATGTATGGTAGAGACCAATTCAGCATGGAATGGACTAAACAACCCACTGAACTCCATTTCATCAGCAATTTACTGACTTTCATTTCATTTTCCTGCATCAATAAGTTTGGTTATTAAGGCACAGACCCCTGCCATGCCTCTGGAGGGCCTCAACACTGCTTTATACAGCAATTTCACTTCCCCAACACTGAAAGAATCCTATTTTCTTCATGTTGAGGATATGTCCCATCTAAGTTAAAACATCTGTGCCCAATTGTTTAAACATTGTCAAAAACCCCTGCTCCACAGCTCCATCTTCAACTCCCTATGGTCACATAGGGAGGACATGCCTCTCAAAGGAGTTCTAAAGGCCAAGGATATAATTTTCATATAAGTAATTTTCAAAGTCCAAACTTCAATAGGATTTGGCTAAATCACTGCACAATTTTTTGAAAATTCAGTGCTTGTCTTTTTTTGTTACTATATGGAGTTATAGAAAAAGTCTTAAAGCTACATGGTCCAAAGGAGAAATTTAAACTTTCAGAGTTTCATTTCTGTTAATTGCTAAAGCCAAAAGGAAGTCTGTCAAAGGCTAATAATTCCCCAGCATCTTCTGAGACATGAATATACATTATCAAATAAGATTACACATTACATTTGTCCTTTGGAGGGCATTCTATGAATAAGGAGTATGCTGTGGGTAACACTGAGGGTCAGACCTACTCTGGTGTATATTTCCATATTTGCACTTAAGCTAATGAAAATGCATGAGATACACCATTTACAGACATTAATCTTTGTCTTTAAATGTGTATTGTAAGGGCCTGAACTGACCTAAATCTTTTCAAATGGATCTACATGGCTTCTCATAGGTTTCACACATAGCTTACAACTGCTATTTTCTGTTGCCTATATAACTTACTTGTTTGATAAAGAACTAGAGTCACCCAAAGGGAATGGTTGTTGCCCACTGTCCCACAGACTTCACTGGTAGGAATTGTTTCCTTTCTGACTTCTCTTTTCCTAGGTCTAGTGATGTAGGTATATTTAAATAAGGAGTTCTGGAAACCAAACTAGTCAGCTGTATACAAACTAATTAATTTTAGGGGTATTATCAGACTGTCATTCAATTAGAATAAAAAAATGAATTTGAAATAACTATGAATAACTAATAACCAGTCATGTCAGGTTAATTCAAAAGAACTAATATTATCAGCTAATAATCGTAAAAATATTATTAGATCTATAGCATCTTACTAAAGCTTGTACTTAGTCCTTCACTAAAGGTGACTTTTGGCGTGGATTCCCTGAAAGCCTTCCAGGTTGGTGATTTTATTGACATAGTTTTGGAAACCAGAATTGAAAAGACAGTTGGACTTGAAGATCCATGGATGTAAAACATGAAATATGAGATAATTTTTTAAAGAACCAACCAGCTTGGATCAGAGAGATGTAAGTACACTTAAAGTACAAAATCCAAAATATATTGAGAGAATATAATGTAACAAGAAGGGAAATGTCCTTGTTAATGTTTAGGTTGGTAAAAGAAAATATGGGGTTGCCTACCAGGAAAAACAGAAAGACCATAGAACAGAGAACCCCAAAAGCTCTCCACCAAACCTTCAGCCTTAAATCAGAACCCAGTCATCACATGCAGTCATTTGAAACATGGACAAGTGGTGGGAATGCACTTCCAAGAGGGAAATGGAGAATATACTTTGTCTTATCTCTCAGTAATTTGTTTAAACCTGTGAAAAGAAATGTGTGTTTTGAAGTTATTTGAATGTCTAAAGTTGATCTTAAGCATGCACCAGTGGGTTGACAAATGGTATTAAATATGAGATTAGAAGAATTCCTGACCCCAGTCTGAAAGTTTGCAGAAGTCTGAGCTGTTGGGTTGATGTAACAAAATGTGCAAAATTACTCATAAGATTAACTCTCCCCTGTACAGCAGGACAAAGGGGTATAAGGAAGTTGAACTTGTGCATTTCTTCTGGGATTCAGAAAAGGCTGCACTGTCACTTGTGCCTTGAAATGAAACTCCAAACCAGTTATTCACAGAATCAGCAGTCCTATTCTCCCTATCATTGTAATTGTGCACTGTGCTCAGATGCACAGATTTCTCATCAGTATATTATTTCTCAGAATATTTGCCACAAAAAAAGGACAGATTGCTATAAGTGTCACTTATTCTAACAATAAATGCCTCTAATTCTTACATCTCTCAGAATTTCCAGTGTTTGATAGTTTTGACTCTCTCACTTCCCAGTACATTCTAAGCAGGTCTTTCATCAATCCCATTTTCTGCAATCTTTAAAAATCAAATATTGCTAGTGGGGACAATCTTAAAATGCAGAGTGTTTATATAAAAAGCAGTCTTGCATCTATAGGACAGAGATATCCAGGTTCCTTCAGTCATACCCATTTTCATAAAACCTCAAAGAGTGTCCGAAGAAATAATGCAATAAAAAGTTTCCAATAATGCAGGAAACAATTTTCCACCTCTTCTGAGAATCCAATTACTAAACTAGGAAGGGTAAAACAAAGATTTATAGGATTAAAAGATAAGCATCATGCAAAGAAGGAGTAATCAAAAATATGTTTATGTCAGCAGAACAAATTTGCCTTTCATACCCTTCATAATCTAGGGAAAATTAATTCAAAATTCAAATTGGATTATACATAAGTATGGGTATTCATCTGTGTGAGGCCAGCCATGCCTCTCTTGTCTACGCCACATCTGATTTTTCCTCTCTGGGATTCTATTTATTCATTACATGCATTGTCTGAACCATACTTTAAGAACCTTGATAAATGCCAGTGATTGCCATCCAGTTAGTTACCTCTGTGTTGTTTAAGTGTAAAAATGTGCAAACCCCAAACCTTTTGGCTGAGCAGTTGTGTGGCTCCTCAGATTGGCTGGGTATCTTTCAGTAGCATAAAAGGGAAATTTTTTCAGTTTGATGTGCATTTCACTGTGAGCACATGCAAATCTGTCCTAGAAAGCAACAACAAAACAAATGGATGTGGTAGAGTCTTTTCAGTTGGGAGTTTTTTAATTTCTCTTTGGTATAATCTTATCAAAATTATGTCCAGGTCCTGAGAGCAGGTAAAGACTTACTAAAGTCAGAAAGGAGGCAGATCTGAGTGAGTAGAAGTGGTGAGTCTGTTTTCAGTAGCAGAACTAGGCATGGACAGCACTAGAGCAACCTGAACAGACACATCCATCACCTCGGGGAGCTGCCTAAACCTCACCAGCAGCAGCTGAAGCAGTAGTCCACCTGCCTGGTCAAACAATACAAGAGGAAAAACATTTAAACAGTTTGTCTGACATGACACAAGACAACTGATAAACTCAGCAGCTAAAAACATCAGATTTTTCTAATTGACAGATCTCTGTTGCAGCACATCCTTGTGCAAGAACTTGTTTAACAGGGAGAAGTAACTCAGTCCAGAGCTGAAGAACTCTTATCTCTGTCTCAAATACTCAGGAATGCAACTGAAGATTTTAAAGGAACAGCTTTGAAGAATTCTATATTCTTATAAATACTATTTTCAGCTGCCTTTAGCCTTTGACAAAGTGTCAGCTATAGCAAATATACTTCCTTCTTCACTAACCTATCTATACAGAGAGCATACCTGTATAACCATGTCCAGCCTTCCAGTCACCAGCAATTTTTGCTTCCTCAGTCTGTAAGAGAACAATTGCAATAGCAGGAAGTAAATGAGAAAGAACAGTCAAAGAAAAAGTCAAAATGTGTGAAAAGCATGTTAAGCATAACAGTTAAAGACATACTTTGCTCAAACGTATATGAAGAAACTGCTTTGTGATTTCCTAAAGATCTAAAAATCTTTAACTCCACTTTATCCTAGACAGTAGAGTATGAAAATAACGATTTTTATCTGTGATCCTGCCTTCTCTTTGTCAACTGAAACAAGCTAAGGTTTAATCCCTCTCTTACTCCCTTTCCTCATATGTTGTTTATTGGGTTGAAATTATGTGAAAACCAACAAAAATATTATTTTTATCTCCCTTTCATTGGAAGTGCCAGCAAATTACTCCATCTTAGTGTCCACAGTCCTGAGCCAGTAAGTAGTAAATCTCCCTTTCTACTGAAATCACATTTTAGTAGAAACCTTGTAGCTCCTGAGGAATGTAAGTTATGAGAAAACTCAAATCTGTGACAAGAGAAGGTATCTGAGATCTCCTGTATGGCTGTCACAGGGAATCAGTAATGGTGTATTGATCTAAATCAAGTGCTGCAGGAGATCTGTGGATGTGTTCCAGTAGCTGATGCTCTCATCGTAGCAAGTTTTGCTTTCTGGGAAACTAGAGGATATTAGATCTGAATTTGTATTTGCTAGTTTGGAAGTGTCTGGAAAGTCATCTCTACTCCTTATCATGCTTTCAAATGCAGTCCAGGTTCATCCCAGGCTCATTTGAAATTTAATTAGGATTTTGGTAACATTAGGTTTCTGCCACTGGCAGCGATTAGAGAGTGGTGTAGAATCAGCCTTTGCAAGTGCATTTCTCTTGTGATTAGAAAGGGATGACTGTATTCCTAAAATTAATATCCCAGAAACCAAAGTTAGACAATGCAAGTGTGTCCTCTGGTTTTGCAGCAGCCACAAGTAATTGACTGAATCACTAGCAGCATTCCTGGTGACAATACTAGCACTGCACAGCCTGACTGGCTCAAGGCTCTGTTTCCAGTTAAAATTCAGGATTTCACACAAATCCTGTGAAACCCTTCTCTAAACTTTCCTGTCACCATCTACAAAGGGACACTGGCCTTTGTATTTTTGATAGAGGCCCTGCCTCATCTGACAGAGTAGGTGTGCCATGCATGGAGAAAAAGTGTGGTTTTAGTCCCCAAAGAAAGACTAATTTATAGAAGGAAAGATGTCAGGAAAGCCTGAGTTGGATTTCAGTTCAGGTGCAGAAAATAAAGTTCTGTGTAGTACCATCCATCCCTTTATAACACTCATGTCTTCACTGCCTAATTCCAAGTTCAGGACCTATGACCTATGCAGGAAATTCCCCTTTCTCCTTCTCTCTTCCAGCAGAAGAGCTGATACTAGCATGTAAGCTTTATTCTTCCCAGGAACCCTTATTAGAGATGCTTTCCCTGCTAAATCCAGGGAAATCCCAGAGCAATTCAATTCGTGAAAGCAAACGGGGTCACCTATCAGCTGCAACTTGATGGGATTGTTTGACAGAGCATTGGGAACATTTGTGTACCCCAAAGCATCACACAGTTCAGATTTTCTAGAGGACAGTGAAATTTGCCCTGGTTCTAGCCAAGATGTGTTAATTTTTGTAAACACACGAGGTTATTCTGTACCACCTCACCTCATTTTCTGGGGGCAGGAGAAGGGGTCCCTTCCATGTCAGGATAGTGTGGTGGTAGTTTGCATATTGCCAGTTTCCCCATAGTGAGCCTTTCATGTATGAATTGTTGGCCTTTCTCACACAGCCTTTTATTAATATTGTTGCTTTTATGTTAATTTCATATATAATTGTTGTTTCCAGTAAATTTTTCTTCTCTCAACTCATGACTATACCTTTTGTACCTCCAATTCAGCTCTCCACATGGGGAGAGGAAGGGGGCAGGGGGAGTGAGCAAGCACCACATGGTTTGGAGTGTTACAGTGGGAACACCTTTCTTAAACCACAATAAATACTTACCTTCAATATTTCACAGATGGTTGATAGGCTCTTCCTCATTAATGAATTCAGACTTCACAACATTTTGTCTTGACATAAGAATAACATTTAAAGATTCAAAGACAGTAAGTAGCAAAAGAGGTTGTCTGAAATAATTTATGTGAGTAATGTTCTTTAATGGAGTTCAAGGTCCTTTGAGTATAGGTCTGATAAATACAAAACTCATGCATAAGACTACAAACATTTTTAAAATATCAACTTAAGCAATACTGAGAGTCTGATACAAATATAAATGTGAAAAATAAATAATATCAGATTTAGGATCTTGGTTCTGTTTCTTTTTGACATCCACATTCAGTTATGCTATGGTTTATCACTGGGAATTTAAAACCAAAAATTCTGAAAACCTCTCTGAGAACAGAGAAGAATTTAAGATTCTAGCTATACTTATGACTTTAATAATTTCATTAGCATAAACCAATACTCATGCTTTCTTTCATTGCAGTTTTCAGGTTCTAACACACTGTCTTTTTTCAAAGCTTCCCTCTTGTTACAGAGATTATGGCCATCTGTCAGTCTCTGCTAGGAGGATGAATTACTCTCCATGAGGATGATGAGGAGCAGTGGCCAGCACATGGTTGTTAATAACAAGGCTGTAGCATTTTAAGAGGGGGAGAAACCTTCTTTTAACAGCTCTTTCTAAAGAAATCTCCAGAAAGAGGCATCTCTGAAATGTCCAATATAACAAATTGAAAGGGAGTCTTAAAATGCACTGGGTAAATGCTGCTGATACACACATTTTAAGGGAGGAAAGTTGTTAACAATAGGTAGAGCATTTTAGAGAACATGGATGGACTTTGCTTACTGGACAGCACAAAGTTTAATGAAAAGAGATCCAAAGTTCTTGTAGTTGTGGCATGAAAAAACAGAACAAAATAACCTTGATTTGTTCAGTTTGGTTTTTTTACACCAGTCAGAACAGATAGTTCTACCTGTAGAAATGAGGGCCAGACCCCTCCAGCACCTTCAGCCATTACTGAGAGCAACGAAAGGGGTTATTATTCCTAATAAATAGTTGGAAAATTTTTCAAAGTCAAAACCAGATCAAAAGTATCTGTAAATCATCTCTCTTATCCTCATGCTAACCTGGTAGCATTGAAGACAGAAGAACTATGATCTCCACCTGTTCCCCAAGCTACCCAGGGAGATACTGTGCTGCCAGAGAAGCATGCTAACTAAAAATTAGTAAGTAAAAAGAAGAATTTGCTCAAGAATTTTCCTAGACTGTTAAAACCAGTGAGAAATGCTTCTTCAGAGAAATACTCTAACAAGGAAAACCACTTTTGCAAAAGCATAGGAATTTTCTAGGGGAAATGTCATTTTATGCTAGGAAAAAGACATGCAATTTTCTGTCAGGAGAATAAAAATGTTGGTTTTGTGATTGCCTACCTGGAGGGACTCTATCCATAAACTCACTACTCACTAGAAGAAAGCAAATAAGTGAAAGCAACCCCTCCTGAAGTTGCTACCTTCTGCAAATATTGTTTTCTCCCACCGAGATATTTATTAAGGCGCTGGGTTTTCTTCCACAATTCCCTACTTTTTTAACAGTTTGGGGGTTTAAAAATTCTTATTATTTTTGTTTCATATGAAAGTTTTCTAGACAAACAGGTTTTTGTAAAATCTTAAAATCCATGTAAAATCTTAAAATCTTAAAATCCAGTACACCAATATCTTGCAGGAGAACAGATTTAGGAAAGGATCTGCTATTAAAGAAAGCATGGTAAATTAGTTTTTACTGAATGGCTTCCAGGGTCTGTTCAAAAGCCTCTGGTTACTGGGTAATTCACAGATGATATTATTTCCACCCACATGGATTTGCACCAATGTGAAAGGTTAATTTTCATATAAATTACACAGGAAATGGAATGTCACCCCCAGAGCTAAAGAATAGGTAAGTAAAAGAAAATGCAGATGAATGGAATCCCCAAGAGAAGATAAAAAGCAGAATTGAAGAAGGATGTTTTAGTTCATAAAACTGCTGTAGAGATCACAAGACTTATCTCTCCCTTGCAGAATTTCTCTTCTACACCAACATCAAGGTCCAGACTTCAGTCCCCATAATTTACCTGTTTCCAGGAGGAAAGTACAATTTCCTGGGCATATTTTGATTCCTTTGTACATATTTGTGAATTGGTTGATACATAACTTACGAAAGTGTAGTGGAATGTAGCACATTTTCTGTTCCTTCTACAGCAAAATGATGACATGATTGTTGTAAAATCATCATGTCTGTGACCTTAAATACTTAGCTTTTGAAGTGAAATTCAAAGAGGAGGAAAGTAGGTTGTGATATTTATCTTTTTCCACTTGGTACATCCAGAACAGAAATGTAACACAGCACAGTCTGCAGAAAATGTCATTCCTTCCTTTAAGAGGGAAAATCTTTACTTTCAAAATCCTGAAACTTAGTGTTTTGAATATAGAAAGACATAATTATAATGCGAGTCCCAGACACCAGTATATTTGCAATCAAAGCTACCTCTGAAGAAAGAACTGAGATAAATGGCAA